TGGAAAAATGAACATGCACAGAGATACTGCTCAGAAATGAGCCCTCAGCAGTTTAACTGGAAAAAAACCAACAACCAAAGCCCACTCTAGTGTTTATACCTGTGCCCTCTGGCAAAGTTTCTACTGGCTAGAGGTGTGAGTAAGATGCTGTGAGCAATCTAATTGCTCCCTGCAGGTCCTTGCTCTTGGACACAGCTCTCAGGACAGCTGAGATTTCGCCTTCTGGACACACAGAAGTCTCCCAGGGCTTTAGGTAATTTGCACTGCGTTCTAACACTGGCAACTATATCTTTGGTTAAATTATATTACTATACAGATCTGGGAATTAAAGACTTCACCTCCTCAGCCTTCTCCAACTAGCTAGCTGCTACAAAATCTTTCTTTTTTAAAAACACAAAATTAAAATCAAATATGTTACCTGAAGGGATGAGGTAGAAATTAAAAAGCTTTGTTGAGGCTCTGTGCCCTGTTCTTTTTACCCAAGTGTCACTTGATACACAAGAATCTCTGGATCAGTTTTTCCTCAATTCAACTAACCTTTTTTTTTAATTATAAATCTTTTATAAAAATGAAATCTGCTTGATGCTCTCAGCTTCCTCTTTGAAATGACAGGTTGCTATTTTTAAGGTTCAATCCATCTCCCTTAGTTTCTTTTTTTTTTTTTCAAAGACAATATTTCTGTCAACAGCAATGCAGCAGTGTTGGGCTTTTGTTGTTTTGGGTTTTTTTTCAGGGGAAAATCTGAGCTATGCAGTTCTACTGAAAGCTGAATGCTTACAGCTACTCAGCCCCAGCCCCAACGCAGCAAAGCCTCGCTTGAAACATTCAGGTCATTGCACAGACACTATTGGGCTACTCAATGTTTAACATTAGGATCACACTTAAAACTCCTCATGGAACTGCCTCCCCAGCAAGCTCAGAAAAACAGAAACACAGAACTGCAAGAGAAATGGCCAGTACTTCACAAGATTTGGCTTCCTGTGGAGGGAAACAGGGGGTGTTTCCTCCCAGCGAGTGGAATATTATTACACAGCTGGTAACACTGGAGTTATTGAAGAGGAAAAGAGACTGTCAAAACCAAAGATATGATAGCAACACTGTATCCTAGCAAAACCCTGAGTCCCAATCCTGCAGTCAGGAACACGTGAATCTCCCACACCTGTGGGCATCCGCACAACGACCAGCAAACTGCAGAAAGAGGGGCTGGACTGGAAAGGGATTTCATCTGAGCAAGACCACAACACATACACACAGACCCACACACAGAGCAAACCTACCTGTATGATCCATGTAACCTGAGGCAGGTCTAGGCCACGTGCTGCAACATCCTTTAAAATTAATAAGGAAATTACTTTAGTAAAAATACTTTGAAGATATCCGCAAAGTAAGAGCTCTTCTGGGATGGCAATGATGCCAGTAAACAACTGGCTACGCAAGGAGGAATTTTACATGCCTAGCTTGGGGAGAGATGGACTGAAGGTCAGAAATAATGTGGAAAGTTTAGAATGCAAGGAATATTGTTAACACATTAATACAATAAAAAATAATCCACTACTACGGCCCAAAGCCTGGAGGATATAAAGCTACCTATTTCAGGAGAGTGGTGTTGAATTGCAGCGGTCTGCTACAGTCCCTTTACATTATACCTGAGAGAATCAACTGTCTTAATGGTAGTGATACCTTTGGCTCTTCAGTTTGTTTCGTTGATGAAAACAGATCTGCTCGTAGGCACCTACTGCCCAAACCAGAATTAAACCTCTGGAAGGCAACACTATATCTGAGCACACCTTTCTTCACAGCAAGCCTAAGAACTAAAATCAGGCTGCTCATGATGAAAAGGAAAATGGCCACAAAGCAAATGGTCAAGGATTCTAGGCCTTGAGCAGGATGTCCAAAGATGCATGATCTCCCATCTACAAATAATTAGTTGTTTCCCAGGTGATGGTCTGAAGTCGAGGAGCAGATGACTTGCAGGTCACCTAGCCCTACAATAAAAGGCCAGCAAACAAGTTAGCAGAATCTGCAGGAAGCTGGAGGACAGCTCGAGGAGAGGGGACTTCAGCTATCCCTTAGATTTTCACCAGTCTGGCTTTGATTTGGAGAAACAAAACTCAGGCCTGAAGAAGAGTCTGAGGCTGCTGTCAGGAGTGTTATTTGATGTGCCAGCTGGTGAGAAAACCCCTCAACTCAGAGAAAGACTTGAATGAGACCCTTTAGTTATCCACAGCCAGTATAGCTCAAAACCCATATTCTTTCAACGAGAAAAGAGAGTTTAAATACTGTTCGAAATGGAGAGTGCAAACAGGTTTCAATCTCCCTTCTTGATTTTCTGTTCATTAGTAATGTCCTCACATACTCCTTGGATTTTACATTCACCACGCGCAATAGCAGAGCAGGTGTGCAGATTTAACTCTGTTAGGAAATGTTTTGGAACACATGTATCTTTTAGCTAGTTGCAAAATAGAATATATTAAGAATGTAAGCAGGAGCTTAATGTACTAAAAATGTGTCAGCCACCCACTGAAGTGTTTTCATGCAACTCCCACACACGTTAAAAGACTAGGAAGCTGATGTTTTGGCAGCAAAGGCCTTCCCATAAGCACTAGCCAGGTTGCTTTGTGGCTCCAACTGCAGTAAAAGAGGAGACACTTTCCACAGCGCCCACTCTGAAATAATAATACACTTTCGCTCCAGCACGCTCATTAAGAAACGACTTGTTCCCAGAGTCAGAATGAACAGATGTACAAAAAGCCATTTAAAGGAGGTTGGAGGAAATAAATCAAGAGAAGTCGGGGAACGTGTACAGCAGTTACCAGGATAACAAGATTATAAACTCTACAGCACGATCAGACAAGAGTGCTGACGTCTGATTCCGATCTGGCTGGCTCTGTTCTATACTTCCATGCTGACAAGTCTTTGGTCTTTTCCTATACTGTGCTCTCTCTCACACTCAGTAGTCTAGGAGAGGCTGTTTGATGAGAGGGCTCTGACCTTGGGACAGAGTCAGTTTACCCAAAATAAACAGATAGCAGCCAAGCTGTCCCTGTGGTCAGGAGCAGGCACCTCCAACACAGGGAGGAGGAGGAGGAGACAGCAGGGGCAGGAGCCATCCCTCTCATCCATCAGGATTCTTTCCTCTTCTAAGATACCTTTTCTCAACACCTCTGTTTGGGAAACTACTGCCACTGATAGTATTGTTCCCGTGTGCATTTGCCAAAGCAAGCAGGAAAGTTTAAAAGATTAACCAAAAGCCTAATAAATAGCCAGATTCAACATTTTAGAAGGAGGCTCTCTGCCATCATCAGCCTTGTCTTCACTATTGCTTTCACAATGCCACCAACTCCACTCAGCTGTTACTGACACATATCAGCAGCTATTCTCCTGGGGTTTAACTTGGCTTTCTTTCAGAAGTGTCTTGGGATTTACTGGTAATTGGAGTGTTTTGCAAACTCTCAAAGATTCCTCAGTATCAGTCCACCTGCGTCTCCTGTAGCTTCTTTTCCTTAAAGACCCGCGTAGACAGCAGCAAGGTAGAATTATGATAAAAAGTTTGAGTTGATTTGCTTTCCTCTGCTGGCAGAGCCCATGAGCTTCTTGCTTCTCAGATCTTTAGAAAAATACTTGTGGGTCACCTTACCAGGGAAGAGAATACAGCTCAAGCAAAAATTACCCAGTTTTACTAGCGCTACATTTATTCCACACACAGAAGCACTAACCTGCTGCCAGTACTCTTTTCAAGAAGCCCAACAGATTTCCAATGTACTACTCTCCCTTCCCGGACAGCGTTCCCCTTTCCATACATGACCTCACACCACCACTCCTTAGTAACAGGGAAATCAAGAATATGACACCTCAGGTCACTGCTGATGGCTTTCTATGGGCAATGGAAGGGAGAATTAAGTGACCATCTTTACAGGAGCAAGAAATAATCTACAACAGGGCAATTTTAAAGAAAACCCAGAAGCAAATCATACACAATTATCTGAAGCCTTAACCATGCTCCTGCCCTGATCCCAATTCCAAGTCACAGAATGTCACAGTATCAAGGTACAATCCACCTGAGGATCCCCAAAAATGCTGAAATTTTTTCATCTAACAATTCATGTTATCAGCCTGTGCTCGTGGTGGTGGGGTACAGAGGGTTTGGTGCAAGAGAATGGAGAGCAAAAAGGCCACACCAAAAGCGAGGCGTACTGCTACAGAAGATCAGAACCAGCACAGCCACAAAAGTTTTGCAAGGGCCTTGGTTTGCTCAGTCCCTCTCACACAATCTAATTAGGGCAAAGGAAATTGCTAAACTTGCTTTTGAAAGACACTCAATGGTGAGGTCTTGAAGGCCCTGAGCTTGACAATTGGCTGCCTACATGAGGCCTAGAAGTACAGATGGAAGGCAGCTTGCTCAGGTGCCAGGCTGTCAGTTGGATTAAAATGACTCATTTATTTACCAAAGAACCTCACAAAGTGCTTTAGCTAACAGGCAGAGAGGGCCTAACGGCTCTCCAAGCTGGGGAAGAAGCTCTCGCGCCTTCCCGGCCTGCCAAAAGTCATTACTGCCGAGTGTGGAAAGCCATCAGCAGGGTAGAGACCCCCGTCGGCAGGGTGACAGATTGGGCTGCGTAATCAGAGGAGGAAGGAGAGAGCACAGAAGCTGTCAGAGGCGAAAGCTCTTGGCTGGGGCCGCCAGAAAACTGGCAAGATGAGTTAGCGTGACTGAGTAAACAGCAAACAATCTCCAAATGATCTTTCCTCTCTCCCAGGAAGAGATGAACTTGTTTAAAAGGCACATCCCAAAGGAAGCCGCAAAGAACTTCAGTGAAGGAGAGAGAAATAAATCTGGATGAGACCCTCTGAGATACACGGCCCTTCTTTATTTTCTTGTCTGCCAGCTTATACTGTCTGGCAAAAATATTTTATGGAATATATTAATATACATATGACATAGAGCAAATTAATAAAAGGAACAGCAGGTCCCATTGCTTACTAGAGCGGAAAGATGGGTGGAGAACATGGCATAAGGGACAAGGGAAGGACAGGAATATTATTTGTGTTGCTCTTTTGTGAGCCAGGTTTCAAAATTCTGTGGGCACAAAACACGATTCTGCAATGAAAAGAACAGAACCATCTTTCTGCAGAACATTTGTGCCGATATGAAGAAAAGTGTCAGAAAAAGCAATGCCCTCAGAGGCAGGAGGTAGTCACAGTGCCTGGCTGCCCTTTGGACATCTGCGTTGGGGAGGCACCTGTAATGTGGGACTGGTGCAAAGTGTATCTCTATATTAAGGTGTCCATATGGTCCCCATTACTGTGGTAACAGGCCACCTCCTGGTTTCAATGCATTTGTCCTCCCAACATCTCTGTAAGATAGAACAGTGCTACTATCCCCATTTTACAGATGGGGAGCTGAAGCACAGAGAGATTTTGGATTCAGACGCACAACTTACTGTGCTTAACGTGCTAAGCATGTGCCAGCTGAGCCACAGTAACTCTAACTGTCAGGATTTGCATCCCTGCCTTGCAGTTAATGCAAAGTAGTTTAGATTAAAACGAAGGAGGGTTCCAATAGATGCATTACCTTACACTAGCCTCTTCATGGCAATCCAGATTAATTCACATTACCTCCCATTTGTGACAGGTCAGGAGCAAACACACAACTATTGCTGCTCGGCTGACATGTGGCTACTTGCCTTGTCATCACAATTCCACATCCACTTGTACGGAGTCTGTGGCATGGCAGGAAATCAAACCACATCTCCAGTGTCTCAAGAGGGGGAACCCATCCACTGGGATTTCTTTATCCAACTTATTGTTCTTCCTACCTTGTCAACAGCTGTAGGTTTCCTGGCAGATTTTTCCTGCCACAGGCTGCATTTTCCCTTCAAACAGTTTCATCCAGGAACTGATATCCCAGTGATTGCAATGATTCTGTTTTCTCTTTGTCTAAAATTGAGCATTCACTGTCTTTCCAAACTCATTAAACTGAAATTTCATGAACACATCTTGTAACATGACATGTTCCTGAAATTTCTCTGTTATAGACAGCATGTGCATGACGGATAACAAAGTTTAGCTATTTATTATTTAGAATTTAGCAAACACTTTTTATCTTCAAGACACTTAATCTATGCCACTGAATGATTTAAGCTTTGCTATCCTCAGTTGAGACACTTAAGTATTACCGCCATATACAGGGAAGCCAAGTTATAGTTACACTTATGCATTGCAAAGATGCATTTTGACCTTGATCAAATCACTGAAAGGTTGTACACCCAAGGAGGACCAAGACCAGCACGTAACAAGTACAATTTTACATGTGATGCAATATGTAATTTGGCAATGCTAAGTCAAACACTCCTATATACATGGCAGTCCTCATTTGAACGGCAGGCATAAAAATAAGATAAAATTCAGCCTCCTCTCGGAAAAAAAATGGCAACCAGTTTCCTTTAAGAATAATGTGCTGCAAGAACAGGAGTCATTTCAGAGCTGGAGAGGGTTTCTCAGCTCTAATTACTCCCGATCGCTGTAATTTACAAGTTTGCGGTGGGTAGAAATCGCCAAGATTCACACATTTTCAGATCAACAGCTGCCACTATTAGAGAGCAAATCGTGCAGCCTTCTGCACCACTGCAGCAGGCTAGCTGTGGCACCGACAGGTCAGAAAGGAGAAGTGGAAGGTGCCACCACAACACAAGGGTGCCAGCAAACTTCAGTGGAGGACAACAATTTCTCCCTCAGCACCCTTGAAGGAAGCTTGAAGGGCAAAGCATGGAGAGCAGCAGAGCATGTGCATTTCTAATGACACCATTCTCTAGTTGGGCTTCCCTTTCAGCCCTGCAGGTTTTTGTTTTTAACCTTGGGGTAGTCATTAAGATGGGAAATATCACATTACATTCAATTTACCTGGCAGTTATGGGGCGTGCTACAAATTAGGATTGCATTCTACTGACTGCATGTAGAGGGCAAGGTTCCAACTTCAAATGAACAGATTTTTCCAGACATAAGACCACGCAAAATACTTAGAGGCCTCTTGAATAAGACGTACACTTTTCCTGTGCATGGTACCTTGCAGCAAAAGACCATGTAACAGTTTGCAAAGAGGGCACCACTCCTAATTTAACATGTGAGATGCAGAAAAAGGAGATGACTTTCCTCAAGGTCAGTCAGTGAGCTGGAATTTGAGCTCAGTGCCAAATTCTCTGTTCTACCATTAGGTATCAGACAGGCCCATTAGCGTGGAGCTGCAAAGGGACTCGAAGTTACTTACAGTGCAAAGCAAGATGCCAGTCTTGGATTTTAGGAACTCCTGGAAGACCTCTGTTCTTTCCTAGAAGATTGAAACAGAAAAATGGAAAGAGTGTTTATGTACTTTACAATGAAATATAAAGCAAATTAGCTAATGTAATAATTTAACAACTATGCCTCGTTCAGTATATCATGCACAGCTTCAAAAGCAAAGGAATTGACATCATGAGTTCTAGTCAGACTCTTCAAGCAAATGGAAAAAATAAATCTATGGCATACAAGTGTGGTCCCTGGTAGGAAGGGAGAGCATATGGGACAAGCCTGAATGCATTCAGTCAAACCAAAGCAGCCAACACCTCCATGGTTTGCACAGAAGCATGGCCTCTGTATGTCAAAAAGCAGTAACTGTTTTACATGGAGAAGGGATCCACAAAAGCAAAAGCTGGACATCTTAACGGCTGTCTGTCCACTCACAGGATGGGCAGGATAAGCCCGTTTTGTGACACAGTGATACAGTCACGTCACAGGAAATCAGCCTCATCATGTGTCCAGTGGGGCATACAGGCAGTCACTGGACTGACTGTAATTATTATTGGGGATGCTCAGCCGCACAGTTGCTCACGTGAACTGCTGTGGGATAAGTCTTCAAAGTAACAGGGCAGGAGAGATGAGACCTTGGTCAGAAACCCCTGCCCAAGGGGGCACAGAGGCAGGACTCCTGGGCCCTGCAGGCAGCTGCCACAGGGCTCCCAGGGCACCCTCCCACAAGAAGGGAAGGTACTCGTGAGGGCCATGAACAGGGCTGCTGACACTGCGATGGAGGTTGCTCCTTCCCATAAGTGTCAGTCAGGCACTCCCCAGCCTTGTCCTCATTGCTGCTCTAAACCAGAATTCCTGCAGCCCCCCCTCTAACACCAGCTCAGGCTCCCAGGCAGGGCTGTCCACAGCCCCAGATCCCAAGCCACGCTGCCAGCAGGCTGAGCCATTGAGCCCCAGAACTGCAGGGACCCGCCAGTACAGCTCCTCATTTACCTTCAGAAACCTCCTGCTTTGTCAGTCCCAAAAATCTTCCTAAGCACACTTCAGTTCGTTTAACTCTTTTGGGGTGTGTTTTTTTCTTGATAAAAGCAACAAAATCTGATTCTCCAGCCCATGTTGCATCACAACAAGAATTGCTATCACACAAGACAATCTCTGAGCATTACTTACCAAAGGCCTCATTTAGTCTTTGCTTGCCAGTACCACCTACACTCCCTCTCCTCAGCTGCGGGAAACCACCACACACTCACATTCCCTTGATCTGATTCCATTTACTCTTTTCCATTTTAGAGCTCAGCTGTCTCTGGCCTCAGAGACACCACAGTCGTTTCCTTCCAGCCCCTTTTGCTTCCTCCTTTAAAAATATCCTTGTTTCCATGTTTCGAGCCTTCCTCCTCAGAGTTCTAGCTCGGAGTTAAGTGAATGTCCTGTTATGCTGATGACATGGAAGAAACCTTACATACTTGACTCCCAGCTAGAGGTACTGTTCTAGGAAAGATGGGAAACTTGGGCCTTGCCGACACACTGAACCCTCTGCTGACAAAAATTAAAGAAGAGAGCACGCTGTATCTTGTTGACAATGACAGCAGCCGTGCTCAGCAGTACCATATGGGATCCACAATTTAGCTCCATTAATGCTCTTAATTTGAAGACATCAAGCACTAATTACACACTGGGTACTAAAAAGGCAAAACCCTTCCCCTGGTGCCAGCTACTTAGTGGTGTTCTGTTGGCTTAACAGCTGGTCAGGGTAGAGTTGGGCCAGACCAGGCCTGCTCACTCGCTCAGGCAGGCAGGTTGAGGTAAGGCCAGACTGCAGGGACAGCAAAGCACATGTTTCTGGTCTCCACAGGATGGGAATGAGTGAGAAAAACAATGGCTCTTCACCTCTTGCTTCATCAGAGGAGCTCTACTCATTTACCATTTCTGCTGTGCAGCTCAGAGTAGAGCGGTAACTCTCTCCATCACAGACCAAGGGCAGGATCAGGGGCTGAACTTTCAAGAGAGGTCCCTCAGGTATTGAGAGAAATGCTGCAGTGACAGTTCATTTGACACTCTTCTCCTGGCATCTCAGCCTGCTGTAGCAAGCTCCAATCTCATCACTCAGGCCCATCCAGCTAAAACCTAGACCTATTTTGGAGTAATCACTGTTACATTGCTATTATTCCATCCCAAGGAAACGAGCAGTCTATCAAGACACTGCTCTTCAAAACCAAAGCCAAACCACTCCATCCTCATCTAATAGGTGCAACTTATTGGGCAGTAATGTTTTGGAGCTTGGATGAGGTTTCCCTTCGGCATTAAAAGCCTGTCTTGACTGCATGAGAGAGAGAACCATGGATACATAAATGGTTTAAGTGCACCCACTGGGAATACAGAACGGCTGCCTCAGCCTGCTGAAATAACACCTCTTGCCTCTTCAGCTGTGTTTTTCAGATACAGCTACCAAGGTACTTTCCAGAAGTGGGACAATATTCTTATTCTCATTAGCAGATGGAAGAGTGAGGCCCCTAGAGGTGAAATGACTCTCTGTCCTCTCTTCTGCCCTCCTCTCCAAAATAACCACATAATATATCATAGGGAATAAGGAATAAAACGCTGTATCCTGACATTTTGAGAATGCTTACTTCCTGTTCCATGTTGCCGTGCAGTCGCAGAAAATGTAAGCACCCAGGGGAGACAGATGAACGTCCAGGTTGTTGTGACTCTGGCCCTCCTGCAAGGACCTTCAGAAGGAGCTCATAGTGGAATTCCACTTGCTCACAGCTGGAGAAAAAGATTATCATCTTGTGGTGTTTTTCAAACTGCAAGAAAAACAAGAAAGTTGCACATGACCACTTCTGCAGGCCTCTCCCTGATCACTGTAAGGTCTAGGTGGCTTCCACTTCCAGAGATACAATTATCCAGGAATGGATTACTGAGTCCGACACCAAATACTGAGCCCACAAAAGCGGTACAAGTACATGCTGCACAGGTATCTCACTGCCAGCATGAAAGACACAGCAGCACTTCAGCTCTCCTGTGGCTCCCTGTACACTAGATGCACTTCAAAGCCCCAGATCTAATCCGTGCTATCCTTGACAGAGTAACAGATAAAGGAGTGGGAAAGGGCAAAGGGCTACTTAGTAATATAAATGCAAACAGTCTCACCTTGCATTTCTCAAGGATAAAAGCTGCTAACGTGACAAGCCTCAATTTGCTGGGGACCATCACGATATACTGCTTGAGCTTCTCTGGAACAGCAAAGTTTTCCTGCTTCATGCAGTCTGAAGAACTGCTGGCTTGTCTATCTGTGTTCGATGCTGGTTTGGGCCCCTTCTGGATTTCATCTGCTATGGAAATGCTGATGGGGTCATTCAAACTGATATCGGCCAGCCGTGTTACTCCTGAATCACAGAAAATAAAAAAAACGTGAGGTCCAGCCTGGGGTGCTGCTGGGGAGGGTGATGATATATTAACATAAATAAAACAACTCATGCAATGCCAGCGAAAAGCAGGAAAGGACGAGGAACTAATAAGCCATGCCTCAGACACTGACAGAACACCTCCCCAAACTTCAGACTTTTCAGGGCTTAGCCAGGCTTAGTTGCTGTGGACTCCACCAAAAACATCACAAGACACTACTTCAGCCAACTTTTTACATTACATAAATGTCACTGATGTATCTAATACGTAATAAGCATTACATAAATGCAGATAGACAGCACTTGGCAGTCCTGTTTTTTAACTTTGTATGTGTAAAAAAAACAACAGACCTTCACTCTATCAAGAGTGCAGGAATCATGAGGCCTGGCTCAATTCCTGCCCCAGCAACTGACTTCTTGTATGATACTGAGCAAATCACACACCACCTGTCCTGCCATTAGCTTTTTGCCTTAATTCTGTATTTGTAAAGCAAACAAACAAACCAACCAGTGTTTCCGAGTTTCACAGTGACTTTGCTCTGGAATTGGACAAACATATGTAGAGATCATGCATGTAGGTATACACACTGACAGAAATTCTAGTAATGAAGGGCAAGTGTCATAAGCCCCAAGAAATCAAGAGGTGTTATTCTGCTTCTGCTAAGGGCTTCAGGTTGGGCTGTAATAAATCAGACTCAACCAACTATTTTGCAGTTGCCTGTGCATTATTTAGCTAAAAGAGACACCACCTGTCCATAACCTACCTTCCGTGAGGGTGGCTGAGAGCAGGACATTCTGACGGGTGTCTCTCTCAGCATTTAAAGCATTGAGTATCACAGCTACGTCCTTCTCAAAGCCCAGATCCAAGATCCTACAAAAACAGATCCAAGATCCCACAATAGGTGACGAAAGATGCTGTAGGAAGGAATGAGGAGAAAGCCCCAATGCTACATGAGCCCATCAGGAATAGTGGAAGTGAGAGAACTGCTCAGATCTTTGGCCCGTACAGCTTCATGTTCCATCTTCAACTTTTGCCAGGGTCAGACACTGAGAAAATCTCTGCAATGAAAAACTGCACGATAATCTGTCCAAAGGGGACCATTTCTTCCTAATCCCAGACATCTGGTGCTTGGCCGAGGCCACTGAGAGTGAATGGTTTAAGATCACACACACACACTGTTTCTCTTATTCTTTTAAAATATTTAGTGAATTATGATGCAGAGGGTATCATAATTATTTTCCGTATCTAAAGTCTTGGAAGTTTACCTGTCTGCTTCATCAATAATCAACCACTGAGTGCGACGGAAATGAATACATTCTGTGGACTTGATGTGATCAACCAGGCGACCAGGAGTTGAAATGAGGATATTTATTCCTTTACGTAATCTGTTTAGATTAAAAAAAAAAAAAACAACAAAACAAAAAACACAAAAAAGAAAAATTAACAAGAAAAAAGGAAACATACAGATTCGGAATAACTCTGGAGTAGGAATCAAGAGTGAGAAACTGGAATCTACAGAGGAAATAATCACGGCCATAGTAAAATTAGCAGGGATATCACTTTCTCACTGATTAAAACAGAAACTTCTTGCACAGCTAAATTTTATCCTTGATCATAACTGATACTCAGAGGCATACTGAGTGATAAGGACAGGATGGAAAGAAATATTAACAATATTTTTAAAAGTCTAAAACATCCAAGCTAGGTTTTCTTTTCTAATTGAATACTTTTTACTGTCAAGAGTAAACTTCTTTTTATATATGCTTATACAGAGAGAAATTAAAACTCAATTTTGGATTACCAGCTTACAATTCACTTCTTGAAAAGGGAAAAGAAAGAGATTTTTAACACCAGGAAATCTCTCCTCCAGAAAGCAATTTCCCCCATAACAAATACTGCAGACAGCACTCAGTGGTAAGCAAATACACGTGTTTGTCAGAAGAGAAAAAAAATACTGACACAAGAGATCATCTTCTCAGAAGGCTCATCAACATTTTAGAAATAGATCCAACTGGGGGAAGCGAACACTTCCTGCTGACCCAGTCACTGTGTCTGTGTAAGATCCAGGGGGATCACAGCTTGATCCAAACTCACAATCCTCTCTCCCAGTAAGAAAAGCACTAAAAGAGAGTAACGGATAAAAACACTGTAGAGCAGAAGAACCCAAAATACAATTTAAGTTGGCTTCCTACCTGGCTTTTTCCGATTTTCTCTTTTCTCCCCCCATTAGCACTCCAGGCACAATCCAGGCAAATGGCTACAGAAAGGAAAACCAAGACCAATATAGATTCTTCTTAATAAAAAGACAGAGCCCAATCAAAGAATCATGTTTCTTGACAAAAAGAGGACAGACTGGGGCTGACAGCAGTGTGCATCTGATTTGATCTAACAGATACAGCCTATTTGCACTCTCTCACCCACAGCTACATATCAATGGCACCTTTAGTTCTAGACATGTAACTTGCTTCCCACATCATCTAGGAAGACAGAAATGCAATCATTTTTGCACCACTTCCAATCACATAATAATATTTCTTTTCCTTCTCCCCATGTAGCCTAAATGTTCAAAGACAAGCTACAATGCCATTTCTTCATCTTGCCTTTAAGCAGTATATTCCCATGGCCAAGGAAAATGTAAGAAAAAAAAAAAAAAGGACCTATAAAGTTTATGTGTATGTACACAGACCTATATGCACAGTCACCACGTCTGTGAACATTAAATGTCCATCTCATTGATACTGGCAGTTTTGGCCACTTACTTTAATGAGGTCTGATCCTTCACTGGATCCAATATTGCCCAATATTTACAGGGGAGATAATCAAAAGCACAGTCCTGCCACTGCCTCGAGAGGAAATGCAGGACTGGAGCAGAGCACAGCTTCTAAGGACTGCACAAATGCATGACTGGTAAATAGGCTTAAGTTTGCATGGGTCACTGCTTGCCAGAAACTCTCCAACAACATAGTTTCTATAAAAAGAATTTCAATTTTTAAGGTTTAAAATAAGGAAGATGTTCAAGCAAGATCCAGGCAATAAAACCTTAGCAGGCATTAAAGTAATTGCATCAGAAGCAGCTAGACCAGCTTTTTTCTCTCTCAGTAATTACATAATCACATTACACTCTCCCACCATCCAGCCCTTCCAAGGTCCAGTCAGACCACAGCCTAAATCTGCTCTGGGTCACTGTGACAGTTTATACTGGACTTGATGGTTACTACACATTATATGCAACAAAGAAAAATTAAAGGAGGTCAGTCCTGACTTCATCCTTTGAAGGACATCAGAATTCCACTTGTAGTAACTTCTAATTACTGTGGAAGAGGACTGAATTATTTTAAACCTCAGCATGACACAACAAAATCTTACTTGGTAATTCCAGCACTAAAATAAGACTTGGAAAGTGCTGCCTTATTTCAAGGAAAAAAAAAAAAACAAAACAGAAGAGAGAGTGGAATATGGATCAGATAAATTATGTAGATACCTTCTAGCCGCATGGTAAGATACTTTGCCTCAATTAAAAGGAAAGCACTATCACTTAATGATTTTAAAAGCCTTTTAATTTCTCCAGCCATTCAATTGGCAAAGCAGTTCACCAAGTTCTACTCCCCATCTGAAACCCATCTGTCTAGTATTAATTTCAGTAAAACGGTGCTTGTCATTGTGAGAGTTTCCATTCATAACTCAAGACTGAAACAATGGTACTTCTGAAACCAAAACACTGTGAATATCAACACTTGTTTATGAAATCACGTGCAACCAAGGTGCCATAATTAATAACTTAATTGTTTGTGTAATAGTTTAAAGCATGCCACGGGGAAATCACACACTTAAATAGATTTATCTTTTAGAACCATGTATCTTGCCAGATGCTGGATTTCCTTAAACACGCAGTTGAATTCACAGGAACTGAAGTTGCTTAGCATCTTACAGCAAGAGGCTCAAGGAATAAATAAGAACACAGAGCATTAAATTCTTACCTTAAGTAGTTTCTGCATTGTATCAAAACTTTGGAGTGCAAGCTATGGAAATCAACAAAAGAAAGTGAGCTCTGAGAAGGTCCCTGGACTACAAAGATGGACTACAAACCCCTTTGGGTCAAGGATCTGTAAGCTAATCTAGTTATGTCTATCATTAGAATTTTAAATACACCCTTAATTTTTCTTTGAGGAGCTGCTTATTATTTTATTCTCTTGCATAATCCTTCATTTATTATATTTGGACCTGTTCAAAAAAACTCTCTATTGGTTCAGCTCCACAAGTCAGCTCTCAGGACAACAGAGATTTCTGCTGGCTTCTGTGAATGCCCCAGGGAGACAACAAGCTGAAGTCACAGAAGATTTTGCTCCACTGGAAGAGTAAAAGAGAAAACAGCACAATTTCTGGAAGAAAACTGCTATGAAAAGGAAACGCAGCCCAGAGGTTAGCTATCTTCCGGCTGTCAGGGCAGACCACGTTCTTCCCAAACCTGACCCCATTGAGTGATCACGCCAGGATCCTTCTGCCTCTTTATTTCCCAGTCAACAGAACAGGGATAGTATGCACAAAGCCTGCAAACCTAAATGTCTGGTCAGTAAGAAGCATTTAGTTGTTGGGTTTCATGTGCCGTCTGACAGCCATTTCTGCTGTGGCAAAAAAGAGGACTGAGAAAAGGCAAAGGTGTCACCCTGACTCATTCATGGAATGTGTATGTGAGCAACGCTTAGTTATGGGAGCAAAACTATTTTAAAGGCTTTGACTACACTTGCTATATACTATTATTTGCCAAGCTCTCAAGAAAAGCCATTGCTTTCAATACAAATTAAAAGTAATACCAACTGTAATTACAAATTATCTTCGTAAGTACTCTCAATGGCAACCCTTTAAACAAGCTTATGAACAATTTTCTACATGTTTAGTATTCATACAGCATCCTAGAGAAACAGTAAGTTTGCTGCTGTAAAAATTTAAATAGCTTCAGAGCTTTCTCCTTTCATGGAACCGAGCTGAGATACTGCACTGCAGGTTGCATAAAATATTGTGCCCCAAACTAGATACCTGCAATCAATTCTCCACATGGAAGTTATTATCATTTGACATACCAAAAAAAAAAAAAAAGGTTGTTACCCTCCTCTGAAATTGCCTTTGCAATTGCAAATAATATAAATCAAATAGAAGAGAGCTCAGAAGAGAAACCAACTCTTGGAAGACTCATCTTCAGCATTCACTTACGGATTTGAAAAAAGGGCTTTAAAAATGAAACGTCTGTATAAGCCTACCCATTTGCAAAGCTGATTTCACTGGATTTACTTACTCCCCCTGTGTGAGCTAGGCAAGCTTCTGCCTCCCATGCACTGAGCTACAGAGTTTCTCCAGGCTTCACAATTATTTCCAACTGCATGAGGAAAACTTAAGAGATTCCTTCTTTCTTAACTTTGGTATGACATTGAACAAAGATGACAACACACATGTAAAGAGCAAACTCTCCTTCTGTGAGGGTAAGATCTGAGCAAAAGGACAATGTTTCCTAAGACAATCCCTGGTGAACCCAGATCTACACATTAAAAAAAAAAACAAACAGTGTTCAAACACTCAGATTCAGAAAGCAAAAAGACCACCTACCTCTCTTGTTGGGACTAATACGAGTGCATAAGGCCCATCACTGCGCTGCAAACAGAGAAGACAAGAGGTCCACTAAGAAGAAAGTAGCACTGATAAATAGAGCACTTCCTTGTCTAACTGCTATTAGTCAACAAAGTGAATTCTGAAGAGTTTTAGTACAAGTGTGTACACACAGTTTGAGGGATTCCCTGTGCTTAGCTTTAAAAAAAACCAAAACAAAACAACAGTCTTTCAAACATCAGTACTGCATTGCCTTATTCTTCTGGCTTGGAAACCTGCTCACAGTCATACCCAACATTTTTTCCATACACGTATTTTTTTCACACTTGTATTTTGAGTTGCAGAAAAACTCTCATGTTTCATGCACAGCAACAATCTGTAGGTAGCAGCTGCAGAAAGTAACAATCCAGGATGGGTTGGAAACATTTCAACCTACAAGGATAGTCAGGATTATCTCTTTTCACAAAACTCACAAGAGTTGGCAGATCTGCAGCAGCATTTTCTGGTCAACCAGAGGATTCAAGTTGGAGACAATTATCAAATTTTATTCCATGTCAAGATTATCAACTTATTAGTCCTAAAGACATGGCAGTAACCTTTGTTTCCAGCTCTCCCAGCTTCCAGACCATTGCTTCCTCTGCATTCTACTTACTCCAAACTCGACAATTTAGCCTACTGCATGAAGTAATGGGGAACGTGTAACACTATTCTTGTATCCTCTGGATCTCAGCAGTACAGGATGATCACATAAGCCACATGCACAAATAAAAGGGGAAGAGAGACTGCTTGACTTTTGTATCAAGGAGAGACAGTGATGGCTACAAGAGCTGAATTTTATTTTTAATGATCTCAATATCCAAAGCAAATATATTTAACTCTGTTGTACCTACCTGTATTTTGGGTTCCATTCCTTGCAAAGACTGTACAAGTGGAATCCCATAGGCAAGAGTTTTACCTTTTTAAAAGGGAGAAAATTAGAAGATTTTCCATTAAAAAAAAAGAAGTCACCATGACAGCACTCCAGCAAGTTAAAGTACCACTCATCCTACCATTCTTCAACTGAGGTCAGAGTCTGGAAAAGTTTTAAGTAGAACATTTCCAGAACAGAAGATTGACAGGCAATTCACCAAAGGGCTAAGTTAAATTAAAAAAAAAAAAAAAAAAGGGAAGGAGAGTGACAATTAAATACTGACCTGAACCTGTCTGAGATCTCACTAGAGCATCTTTGCCTTGCAGGAGCACAGGAATCGTTTGCTTCTGAACACTGTGTGACAAACAAAACAGGTTAGGAAATATGAATGCAACAGGATAGAATCTTAAGGTTTTAACATAGACTGACTGTTTCAAAACTGTTTATCCCAAATTCCATGCATTCACCTCTGCTGTGCAGCTAAACCAGTAGAGGTTGATTTCTAAGGAAAACCACTAGACAGGCATCAGAGGTGATAAATTGTAAGAAGATGGTTTTATGATTCAAGTACCAAATCAGAAGGAAAGACTCCAAGGTTCCATCTTCAGCCATGACAAGTGTCTTGCTGTGTAACTTACAAGCTATTTCTCTTCCAAATTTTGAAGGCAACAAACCCTACAGCAAATGGGACAGCTTAACAGGTCCTTTGGTCTTCACAAACCAATTACATATAATGAAACAAATCACAGATGACTGGCTTTAAGAGATAGCAAAGTGCACAAGTTTTATATGGATTTGCTTACCTGGTCATGCTACTTATGTTTAGGACGGTGTTTATGGTGGAGATCTAGAGAGATAATAAAGAGCAATAAACAGGTTTCATTGTCAGACTGTTCCTTTTGTGGTACAAGACAGAGCAAAAACCACAACACTGATGCTTATTCTCTACATTACTGGTCCAGGGCAAATGGACATAAAAGTTGCCACGTCCTCCAAATATTTCTTAGTTCATCAGAATTACACCATTGCTAGGACATTATGAAATATCAGACTTGTTAAAATACTGCACTCCCAAAGTTTTATGTGTTTTTTTGGTATTACAGCTGCAAACAGTTGTAAGGTTGGTGCTGAGACAGCGTGTCTGGGGATGGGTCAGGACACCAGCCAGCACTGAGCTAAGAGACTGCAACAAAATGAGGCAAAGTACTGGCAAGCCTGTCCAAGTCACCACGAATAAAGGTGCACCTCTTGGCTCTCTACCTGCTACCTATCCAAAAAAGCATGTTTCAAGGCTCACAGCCCTCTGGACACTCACCAGATGTGGATGGAGGTCCAACTGGTTAAATGAATCTGTAGTGAAAACATCTTCTTGCACCTGCTGCACTGCTTTTCTGAGTTAGGGGAAACAAACCAAAGCATATGGTGTGGTTAAAAATAATACAACAGTATTCTATGTAAACAATAACAAAACTACATGTACCAAGCAACTGCTTTGCCTAAGCAAGGCAAAAATTCAAGACACTGAATTTCAAGGCATTGAAAGGGTTTTTATTCCTCCCATTTGTCTAAAATACCTGTGAATTTCTGGGATATCAGGGTTGTTTCTAAACAGGCTGGATGTCTTAACGAAAGGTTTGCTTTTCTGGCTTTCATTTCGGTTGTCAGTCAACTGCTTCTTAGGAAGAGATTTTTGTGATGAACTTCCCTTCTCCCTGACTTCAGCTTCAGTAGCACATTTCTTGAAGGTGTTTACTGATGGCTTACATTGACGTTTCAAAGGTGGGTTTCCATGTGGTGACTGAAGCTTTCTTTTCAGAGCATTGGACTGCTTTAATATTAACAAACAAAACAGATAGCAAGAATTCATTAGTGACAGAGAATTAACAACATGATATCATGTTGGATATAAACATCAGCCCACAGATAGATCCCTTATTTTTTTAATCCCTACCCCATGACTAAATAAAACAAGTTTGATTTTTGAGGCTAGCCAGTTTCTATTCTAATTGATTCACCACCAAGCCTGAGACCACTGAAACTACTGAAATGCAAAGAAAAATCTAAAGTCATATACAGTGCTCATCTCTAAAGGATTTCCTCTAGCTTCTCCAGTAACTGAGTGGAACACACTTTTAAAAATCTCTCTCAAAAGCTCTGCAAATCTCCCGATTACATTAAAGCCATCCCTGTAGGCTTCCTCCTTTCTGTGGGCAAGAGGGATGGCCTGTACTTCAACTTATGCCTCTGCATTTCAGCATTTCTGAGCTCTTTATTTCTTTTGTTGCAGCAAATAGTTTATTTTACTGATCTTACAGTCATCTGAAGAAAAACTTCTGCTCTCCCCATATCCCTCCAGGAACAGTGAAGAACATTAAATTTAACTTCCTTCGGTCCCCAGAGCTCTTCAGCATCCCACAACCCCTTTTTCAGTGAACTTGTTTTTCCCAACACAACTGCAAAACTCCTGAAGCACATAAAATGCCAGCACAACCCTGTCCCACTTCTTTTGCCCTCTTCCCCACTCCTAGCTGCACACAGATTTTCCTTGTCCTCCTATGACCCATATTGTTTTCAAGCTCTATTATTTTTTTTTTTATTTTCACTCGTTTCTTCACATTTTTGGCAACCAACCAAAACCAAACCTCCTTCCACCAACATTCACCATCAGAAAACTGCTGGTGGTGGTTCTCTTCCTCAAAGTACCTCTTACAATCAGGGTAAACCCTGGCGATCGCTGAACTCTCACATACTTTTGCACAGTATTTTAAGAATGATGTAAAAATTCAGAAGAATAACTGAAACAACCCAGAACCACTGCAACAATAAATTTAAATTAAAAAACACGTCTATTTAATCCACTCTTGTTTTCCTCTTCTCAAACTTATGACATGAAAGCACCTATTGCCGCAGCTCATCGCATCCTCACAGTTTATTTTAAAATATCAGACTTCCCCTCCCTCGCAGCATTTCCGAGCATCTCTGAGCGAGGCAGAGGCCTGTAAGCGCGTTACCCCCGGCTTCAGCAGGCAGCCCCCAACCAGCCCGAAGCCGCTCACGGCGCCACAGAGCCTCGGACTCGCCATTGCCCACCGGCTCCCTGGCGAGTCTTCCCGCTCACCACCACCACCCCCACGGGGGCCGAGCCCGTCTCCTTGCCGAGCCCCTGTGCAGGTATCGGCCCATCTCGGAGGCGAAAAGCCAGAAGTTTTATTTAATAACTTTTTAGACGCTGGCTCTGCTCCCCTGCTACGGGCCACGGCTCCCCGGGGCCAGCCCCCA